TCTATGCATTTGACTCCCCATTTTCTTTCCATTGTGCTATCCATCAATAAGTACCTGCAATCAATACGTGACCTGCAAGTAGTAGTGTTCAAAGTGCATGTGGTATCTTAAAAAGAATTTTCATTCAGCAAATCCTATGACTGAGGAAATGAAGAGAGAAAATTGTCTGCATACCTGTATCTTTGTTAATGTCATCTCCAATTTTATTTATTTCAACATTGCTCATGGGTGACTTATCTTCACAAGGGACTAATAATTACTGTGATTGATATAGTGATTTCTTCTGTGCGCTATATGACTTGCTTACCATTTCATAGTAACCCCTCTATTTTAATTTAATGGCTTGCTTTGTTCAAAAGAGATGTCTGACTACAATAGAAAGGAGTGCAAAGCTGTAGGTTGAGCCCGAACATTTCTTTGCTTACAGTACACTGAGCTTTGCACAACAGCTGCAATTTTCTTGCTAACCTCCCTTCCTTCCCCCACAGTAAGTACTGTCCCTAAGTAATTAAAATACAGACATTACTTAGAATAGTAAGTTCCACTGTGTCATGAATCTCCTATTAGCTGTTTCCATATCTAAATGTTTTCCTCAGTGTGCAAACTGTATTTCTTGCTGATTTTTTTTCTGATCAGTGCCAATATTTGAATGTACTGCATAAATCCTTTTTTATTTTGAAAGGAAAAGAACCCAAACAACAATAGTTAATGCCTGTATCTTTTATCAGGAGTGCTGAGTGAGCTGGACACTGATGTTAGTGAAGGGGTGCAGATGGAGCTACAAAGGCATATAGGCCGATTTCAGGTAGTAAAGTTTTGTATTTAACACTTGTCCTTTTAAAATTGTTTGTAGATGAGCTTCTTCCTGGTTTTGTACTTTGACTAGTAGCAGCATGAAAGGGATGTTTTCCACCATGGTGGTTTGGTTTTTTTTTTTTTGGGGGGGTTGGGATGAGGTGGGGTGGAGCTGGATTGTGTGTGGTATGGTGGTTTGTGTGCTCTGTGTGTGTTTGGTGGTTTGGGTTTGGGGTTTTTTTGTGTTTGCTTTTTTTGTTTCGTCTTTTTTTCTTTTTATTCCCCCAACCAAATAGAAAAAAAAAATATAGCATTTGGCAACATCAGTTCTGCATCAGGAACTTTGTTTCCCTCCCTGGCTAACAATTCACCTTATGTGGAGGAGAAGAATTCCAGCATGTGAAGTAATGCAGAAATACTCTGTTGCCACTTCTGCTGCAAGCATATCTCCAGCTCAGTAATTTGGAATATCAAACATGCTAGTGTTTTATTCACTTCCTTCCCTTTTAAAAACAACCCGGATTTGGAAACCAGAATGAAAGCCAAGATAATGTCTTGCTCAAAAGCAGTTATTTCAAAAGCTCAAAATCATTGCAGACCTCTTTACAGCTCAGCATTCGGTGCCCAGCAATGTTTTTGAAGCTTTGTGGGTCATGTGAGCAAGGGCTTCCATAAAGAAATATTTATCTGAAAGCTATTTGTAGAAAGGTCTGGCCTGTCAAATTCTTCTGGTTGAAAGGGAAAGATGTATTCTCTGAATACTCTGATAGTAACTATCAGGCTGACAGGCTGAAGCAAAGTAGCGAGCTGTAACTGATTGCTGCAGTGCTGGGATACTTGGTTTTCTGCTGAATCATGTCAGCAGGAAACTCCCACGGGAAAGCAGAAAGTTGGGGTTTTTTTAATTGTAAGGAATTTTAATTAGTTAATTTGAAAAGTGAGCTGTTCTGAGCAGAACTGAGTGAATCATAGGATAGAATCACAGCACAGAATTACAGAATCAGTCACTTAGTGTAGCTTTTCTCTCTAGTTTGTCCTGTTATTTTTATCCAGTTACAATAAAAGGATTTAAGTGTTCTAGCCTTCCCCAAAAGTAATTACCAATAAATCTTTAATATCTTTTTTTTTTTTTTTTGCTGTTCCACGTGAAATTGGCTTGCAGTCTGAGGCACTTCCGTGATCTTAACATGCCACATGTAAACTCGCCCCTAATTTATTGATTGCTACTTCTTTTTATGAAACTGTTGAGTTGGTTTTTGCACTCTTATTTCTCTGGTGTTTATTATCTATATATCCAGATTTTGACAGTTTGTCTATATAGGTAAAGGTGTTGAAGGTGGGAATGGGTAAATTTAAACTGTCATTGATGCTAGTCAGTCTGCAAGAGACATGAGTTGTGCACATTTGAATTGCATTTGTTTCTCAAGGAACTGTTTTAGGATGCCATTAATTTTTAAATTAATTAAAGGTGAGTTAAAACATTATGTTTTAAACATTTAATATAATTAATAAAATATAATTTACAAAAAGTTTTAACTGCATTGCTCTTTTGATGTTGTGTTTTGAGAGATAACATATCACTTAAGTGAAAAGAATCATGGACTTCATTTGTTGAGATACTAATTAAAATCTTCATTTCTTATGGCAGCGCCAGTGCTTAGGACTTCTAAGTCGGTTTGGTGGTTCAGAAAGACTACGTCAGTTTAAACTGCAAGATGATAACTCACAGGGGGACAGAGTGAACAAGAGGGATGAAATTGAGTTGGCCATGCAACAGGTAAGGACACAAGAATCTGCTAGAACCTTCAGTCTCAAATTGTGACGTTTTACCTGCTGTGCACATGTGTTTAGTTGTCATGCTTTCATACCATAGTGGTAATGCTTCACGCTGTTTTTAGTCTGACAGGGGATCCCACATCTTATTTCTGTTTAAAGTAAACCTTGAAAATTTGGTTACTTAAATTTGCATTAGCAGCCATTACTGTTTTGGGTACAAATTCTGTGAACTTTGAAACCTTAAACCGATCAGAAATTTTCAAAAGAAAGGCTGAGTATAGAGGGCAATGGCTAACAGTAAGTTAAATCCAAAGGGGACCTAAAACTGACCAGAAATTTTAACTAGCAGGTTGGAAAAGAGGCAATGTTGCAAGTTCTAGACTTGAAATAGAAGAGAGGCTATAACTCATCAGAAAGGAGACAGGGAACTAAACACGTTGTTTATTGACATTTTTCCATTTAAAATTCAGTGCTCTGAGGGCTGTAGATAGCGTAGCTGACATGCTGTGATTTTCTTTTGGCAGATCTGTGCAAATGTGATGGAATACTGTGAGTCACTTATGTTGCAAAGCGCCCCCAGTTTTCAGCACACTGTTTGTCTGTTTACTCCGAGCCTGTCAGAATCAACCAACCGAGATGGGCCTCGTCAGGGTGAGATTTTTGGCTTGCTGTTTTGTGAGACTGAATGGTGTGACTTTGGGCTAGTAGAAGATAATGAACCAGAGGCTGTAGTATCACATACACTTTGAGTCACTTTTATGCCAGTACTGTGGGCGCCTATTTTCTAATTCTGGAACTTTGCATGGCAGCCTCTGACACACGTATCAATAAAAAAAGTGTATGTAAATAAATAGCACAAGACATGACAAAGTGAGCATTTCTTTTTTTCAGCATCTGTGCTGGATTACATTAGGTGAAACTAGCACCTAATTCGTGACATGTAAGATGTGTTTTGATGCAGAGTGAAACTATTCATTATGCCACATGGCAAGAGTTTACAGTGTGCTGTTAATGCAGCTGAGTGGTTAAAATCTTTAGTAAATCTTCTGGCCTAGTTACATTTCACATGTTACACTCAGTACTGTGCTATGCTGACTGCCTTCTAGTACTGCAGCCACAGAACTTTTTGTCTAGTGTCTCATTGGTATTACTTCTGACACAGAAGTATAAAAGATAAACTTTCACATCTTTCACTGCTTTATTGACAGACAGCATACATTACTGGTTTCTTGTTCTTTTTTACTTTTATTTTTTAATTTTGAATTGTTCGTCATCTTTTCTAGATACACAAGCACCAGTGGTCCCATACTGGCACTTGCCTGGCTTGGGCATTATTGTCTACCTGCTGAAACAAAGCACTAGTGATTTCTTCAGTTACTATGATAGCCATCGTCAGAGTGTTAACAAGCTGCAAAATGTAGAGCAACTCCCACCAGATGAAATAAAAGAGGTAATAGTTCTTCTGACTCTAGCCCTTGTATTGTTTATAACTTAGACACAGCTGTAACAGAGACTCAAAGCATCTTAGACAAGTAAATAGTTCCAGTTCTTGTGCATATTCCCTTCTACAGTTGATGAAGGAAGGTCCATGGAATAACTTCAGGGAAAATATTTGGCCTAACTTTTACAAAGTTGTGGTTTTCGTTATAGTTGCTTTGGTTTACATTTAATTTCTCTACTTTTGGTCAGCAAGGTTATGCAAATTTAAAACAGTGCAGTCTTGAAGAAACAGTAGCTAACAAGGAAGTCCTATATATTGATAAGTAATTTTGTTTGCTTATTTCTTTTGATGTTCTGTGATTTGTTACAGTCTTCTTGTTTTTCCTCTTCTTACCACAGCTGTGTCAGTCAGTTATGCCAGCTGGGGTTGACAAAATCTCCACTTCCCAAAAATATGTTTTGGCAAGGCGACGCCTGGTGAAGCTAATAAACAACCGAGCCAAGCTGCTTTCTCTCTGTTCTTGTATCCTTCTAAAATTGAAATGACCCTCAAGGTGATGCTCCAGAAAAGCAGAGAAATAGGAACAGGTTCTTTTAACCTATATTTCTGACCACTTCAAACAACGTATTTTGCAAAAAGGAAATTTGAAATTCTGAAAATTAAATTAATAAGAGTGTATTGTCCTGCTGTTGTCAGAATGTAAATATTTTCAGGTTAGTAATTTGCATCATGGAGACCCTGCTAGGACATTCTGCCACATTATAACAGAGGAGTTATTACAGCCCAGCTCTTCAGTTCAGTATCCAGACTCACTAAACATTCACATATGTACAAGTGTGGTGGAAGAAATAGTTTGAAAAATAATTTTGAGGTGCCTATCAGAGCAACTGGAATTGCCAGTCTTACAGTTAACCTTTCATAAACCTAATATCATAAACATCGGTGATTCTATGGAAGTACCTAGCCATGTGCAAAATAACTGTCTGCAGTTGATTCCTTTGAAACTTGCTTTGGGAAAGATGTGCTCTTGCAGCCTTGCCTGTTGTGAGTAGCAGTCATTTGAAGTAACCAAGCCAGCACCATGCTCAGGCAGGTAAGGAGGGTGTAAGCGATCCATTACCGTGCCATAGAAGTGGAGGTAAGAAGCTTCTGCTGCAGGTGACAGATGTTAACATCTTCAGGTGCCTCAAAGTGTGTAAATAAGCTCATATGCTAAATGTACAACCTCGAAACAACAAAATTAGGCTCCTTCACTTAGATGTGTCTAACAGATATTATAGAAACATGTCTCTTCATTCTTTGGCGTCATCTGGAACACTATTTACTGCATTGCACGCCCACTGACTCTCAAGACCCACTGATGTCCTCCAGGATGTCCTTTCAGAAAGGAAGGCTGCAAGGTAAAATTTCTCAAACGTCAAACTGCATTTTAGTAACTTTTTATAGTTAACTTTAAAACTGTAGATTACACAGTAGATTCTTAAAATCTACTTCAAAAAGTAGATTCACTACTATTAATATGTCATTCATATTTAATAAAAGAGATTTCATTTGGATTTGGCATACCTTTGGATTTTCTGCTGGAGAACTGGCAATACAGTTATTGTTGAGTCACAGATCTTGGGTTTTGTCTGTTACACACAACCTGCAAAGGAATGTAAAATTAACTTTTTTTATTTCTGTTGTTCAGACCAAGTGAAGTTCAAATAATCTAATCAGATCAGTGATTCAAAACAAGTTATAGGAAATAGAATCTAAAACGAAGTTAAGAAGTAAAATCAATATTGATGGCTTTAAAAGTATTTCTAGAATTGTAGGCACCATTGATTCACCAGAAGATCTGAAGTTTGTAGGATTTTGTATTTTTGGAAATATTAGGTATGGAAGGAAATCAGAAAGGGAGAAGTGATCTGGGGAGGAGCTTTATGCTTAAGGTGCCATCTTGTGCGATCAAAATTAGTTATGGCCTTAACTTACATTCTCTAAATCATTTAAATAAAAAAAAAAAATCATTTTCTTACCTGCAAGTTTACCAACCAATTCGAAACACTGTGTTTTAATCTTGTTTTATAACTTGATGTGGAAAAGAGAGTGGAGAGCAGCAGCCGACATAATTTTAATGTCTCATTTTCTACCACTAGATTCCTTTGGTTCAGAGCCTAGCTTGGATTTCAGTAGCGGACTGAATCGAGTGAGCCAGCATGATATAGAACAGGTGAGATGTGATGGTCAACTGAGAAGTACAGAATATACTTCATTACCCTACAGCCATCTAACCAGAGCAGTCTGACTGTAGGTTTCCCACCTCTGAACAACGTGTACCAACAGGGTGTGACTTAGTTTAGGATTAATGAAACACTGCAGATGTTTCATTAATCCTTTCTTTGGTTTTCTTTGAAAGTATTATGAAGCAGGTAGCAGTTGTGCTGCTGCACATGTGATTGCAAGTCTTAATATATTAAGTTAAATGAAAAATCAGCTAGATTTACTAAAAGACTATATGTATATAAACCAGTCAAACAGTATAACAGCTTTCTGAAAACATCAGTTATACTTGACAGCCTTGCAGCATGAGGGCAGAACTCCTAATTTTCTGTGATCTTGCAGCTGTTCACTACAGGTCAGCTACAGCTAGGCTGTAGAGAAATGAGATCAAAAAGGGCAACAGAAACTGAGGAGACTATAAAACGTGAATACTAGCAAAGAAATTGCTTACACAGCGATTTCATAGTTTATAGAATCATAGAACAGTTTGAATTGGAAGGAACCTTCAAAGGTCATCTAGTCCAACCCCCCTGCAGTGAGCGGGGACATCTTCAACTAGATCAGGTTGCTCAGAACCACATCAAGCCTGGCCTTGAATGTCTCCAGGGATGAGCCAATCACCACCTCTCTGGGCAACCTGTGCCAGGATTTTACGGTCCTCGTTACAAAGAATTTTTTGCTCACATTCAGCCTGAATCTCCCCTCTTTTAGTGTAAAACCATCGCCCCTTGTCTTACTGCTTGACCCCAGGAACTATCACAGTAATTATTGCAACAGAAAGTCTGATTGGTAAATGTTAATAAAACAAAGTATGCACACAGTAGATATGAAGGATTACAGCTGACAGCCTTGAGCTTTGAAGTTTATGTTTTATTTCAAGCAATTGTGTAATAGTCCTGTTCCAACACTTACTCTGTCTATGCAAGTCTAAGTTCCTTGTTTCAGATTTTCACAGTAAAATACAAACTGCACAACATACTGCCCAAAAGCTTAATACAAGAGAGTCTCTTTGATGCATGTGTTTTTTCTGGAGGGAAAAAAAAAAAAGAGAATTAACACATGTACATATACAGATGAGAATCTTATCAAGAAGCTACTGCAAAAACTTTTATTCCAAGATTTACACACAAAGCACAGTATATAGATAGCTTCTCTCAAACTGAGCTCAAAATAGGCTGCAACCACACAGTCATTCTCTGCTTTACTACTTTTGGTATTGCACAGTTGGATTCTTTGGAGATCCTGCTACAGAAACAGAATCATATGTGCAAATTAAACACAAAGAATTTCATTGTTCATTTAAAGAAAAAAAGTTTTTAAAATCTAAAACTTAGAGCTGACTATGCACTTGTGTGTATGAATGTTCTAAACAACCCAGATAAAATTCTGGCATCAGTAATGGCCACATCCATGCTATTCTCTCTGATTTACTTAAAACTAGACTCCAGGTGATACATAATTCAGAACTGGTTCTAGTAACTTAGTTCCACATAAACACATACAGCTGAAAACCCACCATTGAAAATATGCCAGAAATTGATAGAGCTAAAGCAATAAGCAGAATGAAAAGACCTAATAAAAAGCCAACAAGGTAGGAAGATTTTAGCATGTTCGATTTATTAGAGTCAATTCAGTATCTGCAGCATAACAATCTTTACTTGCAAGTCAAGCAAAATGCAGAGGAGATGAGGGATACTCTTAGAATTAGTTATTTCAAATGTGAAGATGTGCCACCTTCGCTGTGCTTTTTTTATTAATGATAATTGACAAGAAAAACTGCTCCTAGCTGTGTAACTTCAGAGGCAGTTTTCTGGCTTTCATTTTAGTGACAGTTTATGATCCTGGCCAGTTCAAAAGATGCAGTTTCTGTAAATTCAATGCAGAGGTGACAAAACCCAGTAATTTTTATTAGTGAACCCCACTGACATTTCTATTGCTGTTTGCAGGGGTTTTTGAGAATATCTTTTTCCTGCATAATCTCAACTACCTTTATAAGATCTAGAATCACAAGAACAGTTGTATGTGTGTTTAGTGATAAGGCACCAGTCTTGTTTGTTCAAAGGTAAAATACACAGTAATATCTTGCTAAAATACTTCAGGATTTAATTATTTTTTTCAGTGACTGTTTACATACATATTAATGAAAAATGTTGTGTATGCACATTGGACTCTTAACTCCTAAGCAGTCCTTAAAGGACTAGGAAAATTTCAGTTGGAAGAAGCGTTTGTATGACTGTAACTGAAGAAGCTAAATTCTATAAAACTGTTTGATTCATGAAACAGGAGTTTAATCCCTAAAATTTAGCGAGGTTGTAAGGTGGTAATATTTGGATCATCTGTAAATGTTCTGAGTCACCCAAAAACCCACATAGAAAGACCATCCATTATATAGTATAGAGAGAAAAACATAAGAATGTACACCGTATTCATTAGGGGAGTCAGAAAAAACTTACTTTAGAGAAGTGGTTTAGAGAATCGTTGTAGTGAAAGGGTGACAGATAGTTGATGATGGATAAGCTGACATTCTGCAAGGAGGAGGTTTTGTATTAATGAGTGCAACAAATCTCTGTTTCTCAGCTTCAGATTGAAACTGCAAACAGCTTTGGTGAATCTCTGCAGAAGAAGCTTCTCGACATCGAAGGGTTATATTCTAAGGTTCGGTCACGGTACACCTTTATTCAAGCTCTTGTTAGACGTATCCGTGGTCTCCTAAGGATATCAAGGACGTAAGAGACTGAAACATGTCATTTGCCTCCTGAAGCAAGCAAAAATGTACACGGGCAGGCTTTCTGGATCCTCAGATTTTATAGATCATACATTTTCTAATTAATGTCAAAAATATTTTGTTACTGTTTTTTTTCTTATTCCTATAGATCATTTTTTCTGTGTATTCTTTCCTACTGTTCCCAAATTGTCAGGAAAAATAAAGGATTGTTTTGTTAAAAACGATTAATTTAAAATTTCAAGCAAGAAAGAATTCTAATGGAGGACATAAAGGAAACAAAAGTTCTGCAGCTGTGATAATACTGCATTTGTGGATGCTTTCAGAGACAAGGGGGAGTAAAGTTTACTGTGCTGTTCTTGCTGGAACAGGAGTATAAAAACAGAATAAAATGCATGAGGAGGAAGCCAACATGCTTGAGTGGTAAATTAGTTCTGTAATTACAGGTTGTTCTCATAAGAGATACTTGTATCTCCTTGTCTCCTATGCAAGAGAAAAAAAAATAGCATAACAACTCATCATTAACCTGAGCTGTGTTGGGTTTCTCTTACTACAGTCTGATCTTAAAGCCCAGTCCTCCGTGTGTGCATTGCAAATTCTGGCTCCTCTGGCTTTTCTTAGTATTTCACATTTTTTGCAATTTTATATTTGTTCATAGAATCACAGAATGGTTTGGGTTGGAAAGGATCTTAAACGTCATCTGGTTCTAAGCTCCTGCCATGGCCAGGGACACCTCCCACTCCACCAGGTTGCTCGAAGCCCTGTCCTGCCTGGCCTTAAACACTGCCAGGGATGGGGCAACCACAGCTTCTCTGGGCAACCTGTGCCCGTGCCTCACAGTAAGGAACGTTTTCCTAATGTCTAATCTGAATCTGCCCTCTGTCAGTTTAAATCCACTCCTTGGAGTCCTGTCACTACATGCCCTTGTAACAGGTCCCTCTCCAGATTTCTTGTAGGCCCCCGTTAGGTACTGTAAGCCTGCGCTAAGATCTCCCGGGAGCCTTCCTCAGGCCGAACAACCCCAGCTCAGCTGCACAAACTAATTACATCATCTCTTACGCAAGGGTAATGACAGCCCTGCTATCAGGTGCTGGTTATTACCTATTCCACAGGCGCCGCTGGGCGGTAATGGTTTACTTGGGTACACTGCGATGCTCAACAGGGCTTGTTCTCGTTTCTCCATTTCAGTGAAAACCAGTAGTGAATCCCCCCCAGTCCCTCAGTGGTATCTCCCCCTCAGCATGCGGGTGTAGCCCTCCCGCAGCCTGGCGTTCCCTCAGCTGCAGTACACGCCGTGGGCCGCGGGGCTGGATGTATGTGTGTATCTATGTGTGTATATGTTCGCTCATCTTACAGTGGGGTGGGACGAAAGGAGGGAACCCCCCCACCAGCCCCATTGGTTCGAGCAGGAAGTGCTGCGCCCCCCCTCCCGGTACGCGCGTGGCCGGGCCCCGCCCCTCAACCGGCACCCCGCTACCGCTGGCGCCGCAGATTCGCCACATTTCACCCCCGCCCCGCTTCTTTATTTACAAACTTTCCTCTGCTTCCATTTCCCGTGCTCGAGTACCTGCACAGGGAGCCCCACACCCAGCCCTTCCCTTCCTCATCCGGGGAGGGCGAGCTTTTCCCGGTCTCCGTGTCGAAACGGCGAGCGGGGAAGCAGCGCCTCGTTTACCCGCCTCCCCGTGCGACGTGGAGGCTGCGAGCAGCGGCTGCTCGGCAGCGGCAGGACCAGCGCAGCAGACAGGAGCGGGGCGGGAGCCGCGGCGCGGCCTACTGGCTCGACATGGGTAAGGAGGGACGGGCGGCGGCACCGCGGCAGGGCCGGGGGGAGGCTCCCGGGATCCCGCCACGCCCCCGGCGGGATGTGAGGGGAGAAGGGGCCTGCGGGGTTGACGGGAGTGGCGCCGTCGCAGCTGACTGGATGGTGTTGAGCGAGGCGGGATGCGGGGAGGGGGTCACTTCCCGGCTCTGCCCGGCGGCGGCGGCGGAGGAGCGGTTGATACCCGCCCGCCTTTAGCCTGAGCTCCTAATACGGAGCGGTGCCTGCCGGCGGCCGGGTGGCTGTTGCCGGTGTGGTTCTTTTGCAGCGCTGCTTCTGGAGCATACGTTTGTGGTAATGCTTCTGTACGCCTGAGACTTGGCTAAATTAAACTGTGATTCACCTGTGTAATGGCTTGCTAATAAAAAATTAGTTATGGAAAGAGGTTTTTTAGAACAGTCAATAGAGAGGACAGTAAGAGGCCCTGAATCAAGAGGTTAAGTGATTAGAATAAATCTGTCCTATTGCACATGGTATTTGAGCACTGTCTTAGTGTGGAAAGATATAAGAAGGAATGAGGAGTGTCTGGCAGTCAGTAAGGTTACTGACTGAGAGGAAAGAATTGCCATCTCTTTGGCGTCCATGGATCACATAGTAGCCTTCTACTGGAAATATTGAATTACTTTTTGTATCTCAATTCTAAGGTTATTTGCTTGTCTCACAGTAAACAGCGCCTTGAGCAGCACTATGCAAAATACTGATAGATGGTCCCTTGTGCCTTCTCTTTGTTTTCTGGGTGTGTAGTGTGTATGGCTTCTGTGATGGGGTGGGCTTAGAAGACGTAAAGCAACCTGTTACCAGTTTTAATTCCTTCTTATGCATAAGCATGTAGCTCGTTGGTCTTTCCTTTCCCTGGAAAGGCATCACAGATGCCTAGAAAAGCAAACACGGGGAGTGGTTTTTATCAGAACTTCTTTCAATAAGATTTTAGTCGCAAATCTGTAATTTGACTCTCCTCTGATATATTTATCATAGAACAGTTTGGCTTAGAAGTGGACCTTAAAGCTCATCTAGTTCCAACCCCCCTTCCATAGGCAGGGACACCTTCCACTAGACCAAGTTGCTCAAAGCCCCATCCAACCTGGCCTTGAACACTACCAGGGATGGGGCAGCTACAGCTTCTCTGGGCAACCTATGCCAGTGCCTCACCAACTCTACAATAAAGAACTTCTTCCTTATATCTAATCTGAACCTACCCTTTTTCAGTTTAAAACCATGCCTCCTTGTCCTGCCCCTGCATGCCCCTATAAAAAAAATCCCTCTCTGTATTTCTTGTAGGCCCCCTTTAGGTACTGGAAGCTGCTCTAGGGTCTTCCCAAAGCCTTCTCTTCACTAGGCTGAACAACCCCAACTCTCTCAGCCTGTCTCCAGAGGAGAGGTACTCCAGCCCTCGGATCATCTCCATGGCCTCCTCTGGACTCACTTGAGTAGGTCCAGTTACCTCTTGTATTGGGGGCCTCAGAGCTGAATGCAGCATTGCAAGGGGTGTCTCATGAGAGCAGAGTAGAGGGGGGGAGAATCATGTCCCTCAACCTGCTGGTCACGCTCCTTGTGATGCCGCCCAGGACACAATTGGCTTTCTGTGTGCAATACACGCTGTTAGATCATGTTGAGCTTCTTGTCAGCCAACACCCCCATGTCCCCCTTTTAAGGGCTGCTCCCAATCCAGTCTCTGCCCAGCCTGTATTTGTGTTTGGGATTACCCCAAACCAGGTGCAGGACCTTGCACTTGGCCTTGTTGAACTTCATGAACAGGCCCACCTCTCAGGCATGCCAGGGTTCCTCTGAATGCATCCCTTCACATTGTCAAATGTGATTCTAGCTTGTTTGGTGTTTCACTGCCTTTTACAGGGTTTAGCTGGATTTACATTATTACTTAGCATCAGGTACATTTGTTACAAAAATAATTGGTAAAAATGTTATTGTTACTGGCTTAGCACATTCTACATCTGGTAGGCACAAATCTGGTATTAGTCTAGCCACAAGTAGTCTTACAGGAACTTAAAGAATAAATGAGTTTGGGGCAAGCCAGTTTTGGAAAAAAAATAAAATGGAATGGGTTTTGTATTTGGTAGTGGACTGTGATTTAACATGTACCTACTGTTTTATACTTAAAATTAAGAAGAAGTGGATGTTCCTGTGGGAGTCCATAAACATCAGAATTCTTTCAGACTTCAGCATGTTGTCATATAGCCTGTTGCATTGAACAGGTAGAGTCCAATACAAACAAAGGAGAAGTTGGCTCAGATTTTGGCAAATGAGAGAAGAGGAAAAACAAAGTCGTAACCACAATGAGGCAGCTTGATGCTTCTGCAATGTGATTTTGCTGGATTGAACTACCATAAAATAACAGTGTAAAGCCAGGAAAATATAATGTGATTCAGCACACGGGTATCTGCGCAACAGCCTGAACTTGCCTGTTATCACTGGAGCAAAGACAAATACTGTATCTCAGTAAAAAAATGAGGTGGATCTGTCTGCCTTTCCATAGCTTCCATGTCCCAAGCTGACACTGAAACATTCTTCTGTCCTGTTTTATGTAGGGGGCTTTTTCTCCACCATCTTTTCCAGTCTGTTTGGAACTCGAGAGATGAGGATTCTCATCCTGGGACTGGATGGGGCAGGAAAAACAACCATTCTCTACAGGTTACAAGTCGGAGAAGTTGTTACCACCATTCCAAGTAAGTGAAAGCAGCCAGTTTGCCTGTAGCTCTAGCACAGAAGCTTTGTCATCTGAACTTGCTTCATGCTTCCTTCAGAAATAAAAGGATCTTGTGCCCCGGGAGACTTGCACTGGGGTATTCAAGAACGTTTGCATAACAGTATTACAGCATGCTATAGAAGTGCTACATAAAGGAGTATTTTATGCTGCCCTCCTGAAAACAAAACGTATTTGACCTTAAGACTGTTACTGTGATCTGGAAGGTAACTTCTAACTGTAGACTGTGTAAGTCTTTTGTCTCCAGATAGAGCTCTAATGAGAATTCTAGAGATCATTATAGGATGGTGTCACTGAATTGTACCTGTTTAGTTTCTTGATTTTTTTTTTTTTTGACAAGGGTCTAAAGTGTAACAAAATACAGATGGTACTTACTTAAACAAACTAGCAGATTTCCTCAACTGCCTCACCATTCACACAGCTGTACCCACCTGCAACCAACAGCCAGGTGTGTGTGTCAAAGTGGGATCACTCTGTGTAATTTGAAAGGCAGGAGATGCTTGGCTTTTGAGTTCCTGTCATATCTCTTGGGTTCCTTCTGAATGGCCGTGATAAACTGACTTTAGTCTGGTCCTTTTTACTTTTTAGAAGCCAGCAGTTTAATGTGTCGTAATCCTTTTGCCCTAGGGTTTTGCTTATTTCAGCCTCCATAAGTTTTAGGTAGTCTGCATCCGTCATTCACTTCCCTATGTTGGGTTTCTCGGGGCTGGCAGGAAAAGGATCACATATGTGATGTGCTGTAACATTACTGCCATCTTCCAGATACCACAGTGTCAAGTATTTTGCTGAGAAGTTAGTTCTGCTATGGTCTGATGAAGTGTTGACAGGAAGGACACATTTCTTAGTGGTTTATTGCTGGTGGTTGTGTACTTGGTTATCAAAACAGGCCATTCCTTTAACATTTGCTCTGTTTCTTTTGCAGATTTCAGGCACACTTCTGTTCATTTTTTAACAACCTTAGCATTTGTTAGAAATCTTCATAATATGTTTGCAATGTGGTTTTATTGTTCAAAGGAGGAAATGGCTGCATTATTTTGTGCCACAGATGTTGGGGCAACTTTGCAAAGGGTATGAACTTCATTATGGAGCTATTGAGAATTTTCAGGCCTGAAAATTGTAAACTAAGTGCTGTAACGTTCTTCAGAAATAAAGAGAAATGACCAACTGTGAAACTGTTTGTTTCAGCCATTGGCTTCAATGTTGAGACGGTGACATACAAGAATCTGAAGTTTCAAGTCTGGGACTTGGGAGGACAGACAAGCATAAGGTAAAAGATCTCTTGAAATCAAAAGATACAATTAAATGTCTCTCAGAAGTGCAAAGTTCTTGGAATTCTCTCAGCTGGCACTTCCTAAAATTGGTTCTTTTTAAAAACAGCCCATTGTCAGGAGAGCGCTTTCATCTGAGGGAAGTAAAGTAACAAGTGAACATCCTCACTTATCTACAGTTCTGCTTTGAAAAATGAGTTTGTGTTGTAGGCAGTTGTGTAGCATTCTGAGAGGGAAGTCAGTGGTGTAAACCCCAAGGGATATTTAAATGTTCTTAATGCAAAGCAAGGAGGTTGAATTTGGGTATAGACAATAACATTTTTAGCGAGCTTTACAAGTTTTGCAGTGAGTTGTTATGTGCGTAAT